TTTGGCAAGAGGCTCGATAATATTTATAGATCGTAAAAAAAATTGGACGTTACATCGAGTTTCCATCTCGCGACTCTCTGGTGAAGATTTATCTCGAACCGTCGATGAATTTATTTCACGAAAATAAATCGACACCGCGAGTGGAGAACATCCTGATCGGAACACGATCGATCCTGCTGTTGCGATTTACAGGATGACGCTCACAAGCGGAACGACGTATGGCGCGGGAAGCATTTGTTATCGTCAGAAGTTCGCTATATAACAACCGCTATTCGTATTTTGGCAAATATCATTGCGGGTACGGTTCGATAACCGGACGATTCGTCATCGGCTTCTGGCCGATAGTCAAATGAACGAGTTTGCCGTAAATCGACGCGACAATGCAACGACGCATAAATCATCCGTCGTTCAGGTGCGCCTCTATCAGAGGCTTTCGGACGGTTTCGTTATCATTGGCGCATCGCACGTGCATCGCGCTAAATCAAATCGGAAAATATTTTCGGAAGGACACGATCGCGCGAATGCGAGCGAGCTTATCGGACCGTGTTATTTGCCGAGCAAATGGCGGGCCGATTAACGCTACACGATAATTAATACGGGAAATAAAATGAAAATGATATAATAAAGTGTCCAGCGTAGCGGTAAATATTCTCCCGGAAAAATAGCCCCCGGGACAACGCCCCGGTTCGGCTGTTGCGCGACGCAATAGTTTGTTATCGCGATTTCCACTGAGGAGATTCAGCACGGTCTGTCTCCCTCTCTTTCTCTCTCTCTCTCTCTCTCTCTCTCTCTCTCACACACACACACATACATACACACACACACGCCCCGCGAAAAACATCTCATATTTTTATTTTTATCGTTAGTCACATTCCCCGAAATTTCTCATGTACACGCGAGAGCGTCTCTTTATAGCTGTTGGCGTTGATTACGCCTGCGTTCGAGGCCATATCGGCCATAAGCATTATACACGGCGCTGTTTATACGCTAACAATAAGTAGGCGATCGTCGAAACCAATACGGAATCCTACGTCATCGCGCAAGTGGGCAAACAAAAAGCGGGTAATACGGTAGAGCGTATGCTATTAATGCCGACATAATGGTAACTCCTGTTGCCGCTTCGTTGTAAGAAGACTGTTAATACCGATGATCTCTCTCTGCTCTCTTCTCCCCCCCTCTTTCTCTCTCTCACCCGTTGTTAGGTACAACGTAGCCGGCCGGCCTTAATGTAATTGTGTCCGGAGGTTCAAGCGATATGGCATAAAATCCTGCGCCATCGCGTCGTGTGTCCACGTAGCCGGCGTGACGTAAGCACAGCTTGGCCAACGTGTAAGCTTTATTAACTCGCCTCGAGTACTGCCCGACACTTAAAATCAATTAGTGGTACGCGTCAATTAGAAAGTCGGCCGCTTCATTCCACGTCCGAGTCATTCTTTGGACGACAAGCAGTCGTTTCGACGCAGAATAATACTCGAGGATGATGAAATCCGACGTGGCATAATAAATGCCATCATTTTAGAAGAGGCAATAATATTGTTAGTATTTTTTGTGTACGACATTATACGACGAATTCCTCGTCGGAATGCCGATTAATCGATTGTCCGGTAATACTGCTCGGTACATTGAATAAAACCGTCTTATGTCAATAGATTATCTATTCAACTTTGTTATCTGAAAGTCTTTGATACTTTCAGAAGTAAAGTCGAAGATCCCGATAATTTGTTTTCCCGATTACTAGGCGTTAACGCGAACAAAATAAGGTATTATTTGTCAAGTTTTCTGTTAGACTTCCGTCTCATGCCGAGTCCTCCGCTCGGAAGAATATCTACATATCTATATGGGACCACGATCTATAGAACGTTGCCTCGAGAAGGCGGTGATCAAAAGCGAGTGCATGCGGAGGAAACAGGTTCTCGGAGAGATACCACCGACTGTTGACAACATCACGACGATATGTCGAAGTGATCGATTGTGTCTCGCGTGAAAGGGGAGGATCTCCGTTAGCGATGACTCGAACACCACGTTATTATGCAAATCAAACCGGAAGTCCTTTGTGGGCTACATCGCACACAAGGATACCGTCTTCCCTCGACAATTCTGTAGGATGGATCGCTTTGATAAGATTTCGGATCGATAGAACGCGTCACGATAGATTCTGGCGAAATGTCCGATTGCAGGAGTGACCCTTTTCGAGAAAAATGTAAATATTTATTTATAGACGTTTATAATGTGAAAAAAAATCCCGCGAAAAAGGGAGACATGAAGTTATCAAATGTATATATCACATAATACTGTTTTATCTCAACAATTATATTTAATTGCGATAATTGCGTTATTCCCCTGCGTGATATTATTTTCATTTTTGTCCTTTTGATGTCACGCTTTGTCAAGGAAAATCTAATAATTAGCATTGCATAAATATTAATTATTGTTTCTTTCATAATTCAATATACCGCATTGCAGTTATTTATATATATTTTTTCGAAATCCAATTCTCTCTGAGAGGATAGCAGCGTGCAATCGCTCTTGATGATTTTACGATGATTTGTAACATCCGGGATTTATGAGGCAATAACCGGCCTGATTGCTGCGTGTGTCTGTTCGCGAATCAATTAGAGTATATAATTACTACCAGAGTTATTATAACTTCACGATTGCAGTAATGCGCAAAATAAGATTCTAGAGTTACTTTCACCCACTTACGCGCTTTATGTCTATCAGAAATGAGGATATGAACTACTTCATCTATGAAACAATTCAAGAAAAATGAAGTGGATAAAGATATAAAAAAAAAAGATTAAAAAATATTTTTTTTTTGACAGTACATATTAATTTTGTATTTTTATTTTACACGAGCCATCGGGATACATATTGCGAACTCGAGTAATATTAATTGAAGCATGAAGAAAATGATGTATTGATTTTTAAAAGAATAGCAACAGAATATCACATTTCCATGTAGCAACATATACATATGAACATATACCCACACATTTACGTTTTAAATGTATATATATATAGAAAATATATACATTTATATAAGATAAAAGATCTATAATCTTCTTATATCTTCTTAAATTTCTTATTCCATTATTGTTAACATTCAAGCTCTTCAATTTCAAACATTTTAATATATTAATTTATGTTCACAAATGTCCAGCAATATTAATAATGTAATATAAACACAAAATTCAGTATTTATAATAGTTGCTAAATGAATTAATAATAATTGTAAAATTAATGTTATTAAATTTACGGTTTCCACCAATGTATTGAAATATAACGCAACGAGAAATGTTACGCGAATTTGCTGTTATCTCATTTTTTTTTACAAATGAGATACCGAGATAGACAGGAAACGTGACTTACGAATCCTTCACAGTGTGTGGTATCCACCTCCTATCTACTCTTCGCCGAGAAATGCCTACTTTCTTTCTTCAGATTTTCTTTTATTCCCTCTTAACAATTTGCATCTAACCCACACCGAGCGCGGCATAAAACTTCTCCGACCCTCGTGAAATCATAATACGGAAAGACCGTTCCCCATCGTTTGTTCAGGTAAAAGCATGCGGATTTGCTAACCGGTCGCAGAAGAAATGACGGCGGTTGGTACGGCATTAGAAAAACATCTCGATTTTAACTACAAATTGAAGAAAACTAAGACACGTTTGATAATCCGTATGAGAGAACTTGCATTACTTCCATCGTTCTCTAACAATAAGAAAAGAAAAAGCTTCGTAATGAGTATATTTAGATAATGATAGGCAAAATTTGGAAAAACATTTCGAAGAAAGATGATACGATAAGATATTCAACATTAGATACATGATTTCTTTTATTTTTTAAGTAGTTCAGATTTATTATTTTTAATGTTAATTTCTCATGCAATATATGTGTAAATTCTCGGTTCTTATTCATGAGCAATCTTATTATAGAAAGTTAAAACGCCGAATAAAACACACCAGCGTCACTGACTACACCCATTAACGATCTAAGATTAGTCGGCCGATCTGAAGGTAGAATTATTACTGGAGCGGCTAAAATTAATGATATACGACTCCCCAAATTCGACTCTGTATGACGCATTCGTAGTCATCAATAAATACTGTGTAACATTCAACATGGCACCTGCATTTTGATAGACATTATTATAAAACATTATAACGAATGATATAATTTAAGAAATAAATAAATAATATCAATAGATATTAGGCATATTTATTAACTCGTTATGAAGCGATATGCTCGTCCGTTCATCGAAATAGCTATTAAATTCAAGTTTCGTGAATTCAAGTGAAATAAATTATAATATAAATATTCTTGAAAGAAGATGATATCAATTTCCATAAATAGAGTTTAAGTAGTGCATTACACGATTATCAATTATGATTTCGTTACACCACCGCAGTGTTAGCGTTTCCACACACATTGTGTCATACGCGACCCTGACTCGACTTTCCTACTTTACGATCGAGTTACACATGCGCTCGCACATGCAGTGACCGCTAAATTACATTCCTTGACTCTGTGATTCAATAATGCATCGCTGCGAAATTCAATAAGTTTTATAAATTTATGCTAAAATTAAAATATTAGACGTTAGCTAAACCAAAATGGTATTCATATACTTCTCTGTTGCAAATTACTTGTATCTCATATCAGCCGTATAATATTAACGAAAATTAAAATTACATATTTTTTTCTCTCTTCCCATTTTTTCAATGTATTCAACGAAATTTATTCGTTATAGAAAACGCATGCACAATAACATCAATTGTCTTTCTTAATAATTATTATACCCTAACGAATATTAGTAACCGTATTAAAACATTCGTGAATGACAAATTAGGTAATTAAATTTAATTCGATGTGTTAAAGTAACTTTAATCTCAACTAGAAAGTTCGCTAAATAATTTAACAGTTCCGTTTCCATTGACCGTCTGTCGGCCGTAGCTAAGCTAAGGAAGTAAGAAAAGGATTAAAAAAAAAAACACACTGACCTTGAGCAGGTTTCGGAAGTACGGACTGCATGCCGAAAGAACGATCTTGTGCGCGGTGAAGCTGCAGCTGTCGCAGGCGAGCGTGACGTCGACGAAGTCTTCCACATCCCTCAGCTGACGTACAGAGCTGAGGATGCTTGATTGAAAGTCGTTCCATCTCAGAGAGTATTGCTGCTCTCCGCCAATTGACGAGGACGAAGAAGCCGCCATGGCGTCCGTCCCCTTGAGAATCACGACCCGCGGTGCTATCGTGCTCACACTCTCCTCGCCCGCGCGTCTCACTCTACCCTCGGACACTACTTCACCTTCACAAAGTCTCCTCGGATCGGATCGCACTCGCGCTTCTTTTTTTTTGTTTTGTCCGTTCTCTATTCCGTGAGAAGGTCCTCGGCGTGGAGGGGGGATTCAATCGCGCCCGAAATTAATCGCCGGGATCAAGTTACGGCGAAATAACCTGGTCGCGATACAATTGTTCGATGCTTCGAAATGGATCGTCACAGATACCTCTTACGCAATGGCTGTTTGTCAGAAGTGAAAGCCAACAAATGAAAGCTAAGCGCCCAAATAAAAGTAGGTACAGGGGAAACTTCGCGTACACCACGTTGAAGAATTTCATAGTACTTGGGTCATGATAGAAGTGGCACCGCGCGGTAAAACGTCGGACTGAGAGCACGAAATGATAGACGGTTGCTGTGTGTAATGTGTATGTACTTGGCGCGAGAGACGCTATTGCTTATTTTGATGGCTAGCGATTGGGCGTCCTCGATTGTTTTCTGAAAGTGTGGCAATCTCCTGTTACCTATAAGGAAACAAATAGCAACGTATGCGTACAATACAAAGTAAACAAATAGACGTTCTTCGAACGACATTCTTCTGTCTTCGACAGATCACTATACTCTGATATACGAGTTAAAAGTGCGTCTGCAATATAGCACATTCTCGACAATTGTTTCAAAACATAATTTTTCTTTAAAACTGAAACATCTTACATTCTTAAATTAATATTAATATTTAAATTAATTATTTTTTTAGCATTAAAAAATTGTTTTATTCTCTTAATATATTATATATATGAAGAATTATTACTAGAATTTCTAGGTGATAAATGAATAAAATCTATATTATTTTTTAATCATTTTCTAAATATTTACAATTTGTAATGTAATTAAATTGTATCAAGTTTTTTCTTTTGCTTAGTATAATAAACAAGTATAATAAAAATAAATTCTCGATAATTGCTCTTTCAAAAATACGTCAATATAAAAAAATATATTCAAGATAAGAAGATAACGATTAAGCAGCTTGGTTTATTATAATTTATGTACTGCGCATGATGTTATTGATAATTCATGTATATATTCATGTATATGTAGATAATTCATGTATATAGGTTGATGAAACTTTTATGCAGTTCCCGGGAATCAAAGATTACATTTTTAATGGTTACTGACTGGCCAATTGTCCATGAAAATTTAAATATGTAATTCGTAACGGACGCATTATGCGTTACATTTTTAATACTGGATTCGTTGGAGACGATTAAAATTTAAATTTTAATGCGCCATTCGTAATGAACAAATTAAGTATTATCTTGCCAATGTAAAACTCACCGCTAATGGAATTGTTCAATCGACCTTAGCATGCGCAATCGTCCGATGTAATATATTTTTACATTTATTTCGTAAACCTTTCAGCAATCCCCACACGTTGTTTATGCCGAAATCATAAAAGCCACGAAAATCCCAATAAAAATAGCAATACGTGTGCGGTATTATCGTGTTCGTTCAATCGTGAAGTTCATGACAATTAAAAAAGTTAATTTAATAAACTCAAGAATGCTTATTATGATTCACATATAGTTTATTATATAAATAAGAAAAGATACATGACAAAATTGATAAGAATCAGCTTGTATCTTTATTATCGTAGAATTGTGCCAATAAAATAGGTATTCGATAATTTACAACAATACTCATAGGAATCTACAAATTTGTATCATATAAGTAAAAAAAATTAATGTAACATTAATTTCATCTTGTGTAAAGAGAAATTAATATGTTTAAAAATACTACGCAAAAATAAATTAAGCAATCTGCATTAATTAGGTTTGAAGATTACAAAATCAATAATTGAATGTAAAAGGCTACAAGCCGAAGATAAAAATGCAAGATAAAAATGCGCTTTTTAATAATAAAACAATTTAATTTAAAATTTAATCCATTTCGATTCCCGTATTTTCAACCGATGTGATATTCTGAATTCTTTTTACAAAAGATTTATTTCAGGAATAACTTATATAAAAATCTAATTCTCTACATCAGGATACAATTAGGTTATTCTTATTTTTTTGTGCTAAATTTAATATTTCTAAAATTGATATTTCGAACCGAATGCACTTAAAGTGTTGTGATATAGAGTGACGTGGATAGAAAGCGGTTTGCTTTATTAACGTCATATATGTCGTACAGATAAAAACACACTTGCTCTTCAAGGGTATAAATATTAAAATCAATCATTGATTTTGAAATAACAAAAGCTTTATTTTTCTCTATATTAATAATAATAATATATAAATTACTGAGATAAATAATAATAAAAAATAATACCTTAGAGAGAGATGTCCAGCGTTGAATTTCTTGGATGCTTCTTCTTTAGTTTTAACAGTACCAAATAGTATCAGATACTGTAGTACGAAAGTATAGTATCTGCTGAATAGTTCCCCGAAATTGAAGTTTGGCTACTTTCTTTCTATTTTGATTATTTGGCCTTTTTGCTCATGTAATATTGATAATCAGATATTTTTCGAGGAACTATTTGCATTAAGCCATCCCGGTTTCTGGTTTGTAAGCTGTTAACAAAATGTAGTGACAATGTTATTTGATCGACAACTTTTAATCTGATATGAGATGATAGAGACAGAAAGCCATATGTTAATTTAATCATGTTCAAATATTACTTTTTATATTAATCATACAATATTAATATTTCAATTGATAAACATAGTTCAAAGAATAACTATATTTCTCTTTTTTTTTATTTTCTATCTTTTTTATTCTATTTTTAATATTGTTGTTCAGTAACTATCATTTTATACTCTTTTATACATGCTATTTTTAGTGTATATTTTTTAGTGTATTTACCCTATGATAGAAATAAATCTTCTCTTTTTCTCTCGCCCCTTCTTTATGTTTAACTGTTCCTCGGAGATGTCAGTATATATCACTTTTTCGCGCATACCGAAATGCTTGCACCTTCTGCCCTTCTGCGTCGCGGTCGACGCGTCAGTCCGACATCCAGTGCCGGAAAATGAGCCTACAAAGTTTCTCTTTCGCTGTTTTATCCTCGATATTAATGACAGAGACACTTTGTCTTATCCTGGTGTTCTTGCTTACCATTCCCCTTCCGGTTTTTATTCACTTTTTGCCTTTCTTTTCTTTCTCTTCTCGTTTATTTCTTCTGTTTTTAGGTTACCCTTTTTTCTGTAACAAAAATGTAATTAACATAAATTAAATGACTTAGATTCGATTTCAGCAAGTAACACGAGGAAGGCATTAATAACTCTTGACGACTGAATTGTGAATTTGTAGACTTGTATTTAAGTACTAATTTGGATGACGAAGACAATGGTTCGATTAATATAGTGATTAATTATTACCGCTTATTATTAAATACTAAAATGACAAAATGAATAAAGAGTTACACTGAATAGTCTTGATTTATTAATTTTTGCATGCAAATGAGGAAAGGAAAAAAAAATAATGCTGCTATGTTCATGATAAAGTTAAAAATCAGAGACAGCATCATTTGGATTCCCTCTTTCTCTTTTGTGTTCTAGATTATTAGTAAAAGTTTCATTTAAACATCAATGACGAGATCGAAGGAAAAATTGTGCAACATAATATTTAATAAAAATTCTGTATATCAAATTCTGTAGATTTTGATTGTCAGTCGAAATTACAACTGACAATGAGTCACTTTTATAGCATCGCTATAAAACAATTAAAAAAGAATAATCAAAGAAAAGCGTATGCGATACCTATACTTGAATCCTATACTTGCAAAAATGAACATACCATGTTAATCTATTCGCAAAAAAATACTTCGTAACGGAATCTTCTGAACATTATTCAGTTTACGATCGTTTTATCCGCATGTTGGTCTTTACTCGATCGAAATGTCCCGCAGAATTCTTGATTTTTCAAAACTTTTACAGGCGTCGTGACACTTAATGTTCGGTTGAATGCACACGCGTTGTGTGTTCTTGCGGGGTGATATACGGCCGATAACGGTACGTTTGTGGAAAGGCTCGTAGGCCTGTAATCGACTAAATAAGCGATTAAAAAATTTTTGTCTGAATCATTTCTCAGGAAACTTGTTTAACGTGAATACTATATAGATCGACTGGTGGAATTCTTATGTTAGCATGAAGACTTTTGTTGCATATTTGTCGTATATTTACCACATTTGTCGAATATTAAGAAATTTTTATGAATGTGATTCGGCTTAAATATCTTTGTTTAATTTGATTTTTAGGTAGTTAAAAATAATTCGAGAAAACATTTGCAATATTCATAAAAGGAAATATTTTAAAAATCTCTACAATTTGTGTAAATTTTTTCATCATCATATTACGCATTAATTAAAGTTTAAGTTTCATCATGAATTTCAAATGATAACTCAAAAAATAATAAAAATAATGACATACATAATAAGTAAAAAATAATATTGACATACATACATACATACATTGAAGATGCATTAACAGCGTGTGAAAAGAAAAGGATTACTTCTAATAAAGTTTTTCTAAGCGCGCGTGTGCATTACGTTCGCAATTACCGGACGATTGCACGATGAGAAGCTGGTTACTTGCGTCATACACGGAAGAGTCATCGTAGAATTATTTTTCATTTACGATGCCCCTAATTGTAAATCATTCGAGTTTTACGATCGGTAGTAAACATCTCTTTCCGTCGTACATCGATTACTATAAATACAAGTACGATGTCCGTCGCGTTCTCTCTCTCTCTCTCTCTCTTTCTCCCTCTCTCTCCCTCTGTTTCTTAGTTCACTTATTGCGCGTTACCAATAAAGACACAGATTCAGATCCAACTTCTGCTTTATATGTTTACATACGTTAGATGTGATGGTGATTTTCCGCTAATAATTTATTAACCGGATAAAATCTGTCGATCAACTCGCTAGTGCCATAAAATATTTTTTGTATTTATTAAATAAATATTTATTAAATATGAAATAATGCATAAGCAATATAGCATGGTACAATAAAGCATATGCATACAAGCTACAAGAATTGCAATTTACAAAAATTTAAGCACGTAATAACAACAGCATTAATAATAATTTGATATTTTTTATGTAACCTGTGTATATCATTTACATACACATATGTATATAATTTTACACGTGTGTATACATAAACTTTATATATTTAAATAAATATGTTAATAATTTTATTTAAAAGTATACCATATTATTATCGTTGTTATAATGTTAAGATATGCATTAATTGAAGAGTCATGCAGCTCAAAGATCAGAGATTCTCATTTAAGAAGATACAAAGAGAAAAAAGAATTACTAATAATGACAACAATAATAACAATAACTCTAGTTTAAAAAAGAAAAAAAGACACAAAGAAGAGAAGTAATATTCTGGAAATCTATGATTAAGATAGTGCAATAATAATACCACACTGTAAAACAGAGGCATACCTAAATAGAAATGTTTAATAGGCGCTATTAAAGTTAAAATTTCATATGAAGTAACGGTACAGAAAAATTGTGGTCGCGTGTATTCGAAACTGCATTTGCGACACAGTTACAAGATCCGAGAAAGATCCTAACGTCGTTGAGTGATATAAAAATCTTAATGTAGCCGTTGTACATTTTACGTGACACTTCATTCACAAGCCGGAGATAAATGCGAAATTTATACACCAACAAGATGCATAACAGTTTCGCGATCTCTTCCTCCCGAATGTTCTACATTTTACCAATTTAATTTTCATTAAAAACAAACTCAGTGACATCGCGCTTATCGGCCGGTGCTTATCAGAGAAATGTAAAGCTTGATCGTGTTTGCCTGCACAATGTACGATCGCCTTCGCCGCTTTAATTACGAAAATAGCTCGATCATGCTGATAGCGGCCGCGTTGTTTCGCATTTCCGCGTATATGGTAACGCTGTATAAACAAGCTGCCCGAGATATCGCGGAGTAACATATGAGCGTAGTCTGGAAAAAGCCGCGGCTACGTATGTACGTAATGCAATTACGACGTACGTGTCACGAATTAAAAGTACATAAGTCGCAGCGATTACGCATTACGAAATATACTGTTACATTGACTTCGAAAGTGGCCTGATAATCACCGATCTATTTTTAAGACAGCTGACGAAACATGAAAGCTGATGATAATCGAGAATCAGATGTCAATCGATGCTGCAGAAAAAAAATACGATTTCAATATTGATCGTAAAATTCTGTGAAAAAGGCGCCGAGAGGCGATCAATAAACTGAAAGCCTCTAATCATATATTTACATCATTTATAGCCATTGCGTAAAGTATGAACGCATAGCTGAAGTTAACGTAACTTGCAATTAAAAAATTTGCGTAACAAATAATTATAATAAGAGTGCATTAACTTTCCTTGAAAAACAAATTTGATATTGATACGTGTGTATTTACGGGAGGGTTCGAAAGACAGGAAAGAAAGTAAGTGTACGTAACTATAGTCAGCATTCGGATCTGATACAAAGTAAAAGAATCTTAATGCAGGCGATTACATTCGCTGCAAGTGTGACTTAAGTATTGCACCTTGCGGCTGCAACAATAATATATCGAGCATATCAAAAGTATGCCCGCGAGCAATCACATATTATGAAACTGACGTAATGATCACGGTTTCGCAAGAGCGTAGCTAGAAAGCGTTACAGCCTGCGGAATGCGCCTTATCTATCTTTCCTTCCACGACTCCGTACTTGAATGTGCATTTCACCCGATCGGCGCAGCGGCTTACATCTTTCTACTGCAGAAAACCAAAGCCCGTGATAGATACGCTAGTCACAAACGCAATTGCTGATACCGCGAACGTTTATCTTCGCATCGTCGATCATGTGTTCGATTCGGCGCAGTCATGTGTGAGAATCGGGAAGAAAACAATAGCTGGCAATTAAGTACCCAGAAATTCGATTTCTCGGAATTATTGCAGTTGGCTTGAATGCGCATACATTGTTCTAATCGGAAATAAAAATCGAGGTTATATAATTTTAAAGGTGTTACATTTATTGATGTAAAGGACGGATTAATTTTACTTTCCTTTTATGTGTTTATTGAGGCAATAATTAAATTCTTTCTTATAATTAAAATTATTTTAATTTGGTAAAAAAATGTATATATCTCAAAATTCGGAACTTTTATTTAAATTTGACAGAACCAAAACTTTGTATTTTTTTTTAATTAAAATTTACTTGAGAGAATTAAAATTTAATCTTTTAAAATTATTCACGCAAACATTTATTAATATTAATATTTTAAGTAATATATTTTAATTAAAATTACGTACAATTACAAAATTGTATTATTGTGCATGGGAAGAAAAAGCACTTTTCTTGATGCAAAAATGACTTTGCCTAGTGTTTCAGTAAAACACTTTCGCTATTTGATTCGTATGTTTTTTGCTCGGGTATTTACTGACTTGTGAATGTGTAAAATCGCAACCGCGAGAACGTAAAACAGAGCGTGCCACGCGCGGCAACGTGTGTGTTGGGGGCATTCCATTGTATCGTATGAATGAACCACGCCGTCCGGGAATATATTTCGACTGATCGATCGACGTCTAAACTGTTCTCGGCACGACATCGAAGCGCAAATATAACTTCGGCATCTGTCAGTTAATGAAAAATGCGAATCACGCGCTTTAAATTCTGCATAATTTTGAAATATTTCCATCAATTTAAATCAAAATTTTATTTTTAAAAATATATATTATAATATATATATATATATATATATATACATATGTGTATGTACATGTGTGTGTGTGTGTGTGTGTGTCTTTTGTGTATGTGTGAGTGTAAGTGCAGATATATATGAATAAATACATCGATAGATGAATAATTTATCTTAATATTATGTAGATTGACGTTTTCTTTAAGCGACTAATAAATGCACAGGAAAATGAAAAAGTAGAGAGTAATCATAAAAAAACTAGCCGCAATAAATTACAAAGTACATAAATACTAAATTAAATAGATACTAATAATTAAATAAATACTAAATGAAACGCAATAAGAAAAAAGTAAAATAAAATAAAGAGAAAGAAGTATAAAAAGAAGGAAAAATAAAGGAAAAAGAAAAAGTAAACGGAACAAAAGAGAGCTAAATACACGTGATTCCAAGTTCTGAAAATTATATTGATAAATGCATTTAGACCAAACATACCATTATCTCACATATAATAT